TAAATTGTTCTACCACTCAAACTAGATTGCATTTAAAAAATGGACTGACTTGGACTCATTGAAAATATTTTTGATATTTGGATTTTCACACAAAAAACTCATTTCAGGTTCGATTCTTCCTAGCATACCTCAACGGAAACTTCAAAGTGAATAAAGAAGAAATGATGGAAGACGTTCAAAAATATTTGAATGATTGCAAACAATCTGGAAAACCGCCACATATGGAACTCAAAGAACAATTCAAAAAATATTTTGATGACCTTGCAAAAACAGCAAATATAAAAGAGATACAACCAGCGATTTTGAAAATGCATGAATTTTATATGAACGAAGGAGTGGGAAAATTTGATTTGGTATATCGAATAATAAACGATGAAGAGTTCGAACAATTCCCTTATAATAATAACTATTGCAGCGATAATGTGAATTGAAATGAGGATTGATCAATAAACACAATGATTCTCAACTCATGGTGTTCATTTGGCTATGTGAACAAAAAAAGTATAAGCTTTTCACTCTCATTCCATTTCTGTAATCAGTTCACACACTGAATGAGTCTTGTCTCATCAAAAAATGTGAGGTAAAAACACACTTTGTCAAATGTAGGAACATCTTTATAAATTTTGATATCGTTCCGCTTTCTAGATGCGCGTTAGTTAGGAGACAGAAAGATATAATTCTCAAGTCTCTTTCTAGTTTTGACAAGCTATATTTGCTTTTTTTTATCACGTGTCTCATTCATTTTTTGAATCTGTCGCTATCTGTCTGTACCTTTTTCATTTCGGTTTGTGAATATTTCAGAAAATCTTGAGACCCTTCCACCGAGACTTTCAGAACCCTGAAAGTTAGTTGTTTTGTAAATATTTCTTCCATTGTCTCATTACCACCGTATAGAAGTAAACACAAGTAAATTCACTCTCCGTCATATTTGGGTCAAGATTCCCCACCTCGAATTTTATGCTCAGCCAACCTACAGCGCAACTGACTGAATCTGATGGGTTTACCAAGCGAGCCAAGTTGAGTGGAGTCAGTCGTTGTAAGTGATGGTTTTGTATTTGTGAAAAATTCGTGTCTAGTTTCAAAATTAACAAGTGTCGAGGCGTGGGTTGCTGTAATTTACAGGGTGATATCGGCATTGATTCTTTTCGATTTCCAATTGACGAAAAAAAGTATGTTTTCCTAGTGTTCATTATGCAAGATTGAAGGAATGAACATATAACAAAAATCATAAAATAAATTGTTTGAACGTGATTGACAATGTTTCACGATGAATTTCACTAGTTCAGACTTCCATTGTCTAATATATGAAATGATTTAAAATCCCTGAAACGACTGAAAAAAAAAAGAATTGAAAAATAAATAGCTGTAAATCATAATGATCAGCTTGGTCCCAAGCACAGAGAGAAACATTGGTTTAGGAGGAAATTCAAGGAAGCCGCATACATGTCGTCCAACAACGTATTCAGCCAAGCCAGCGTAGAACTACGCAACATATGGAAACCCATTATCAAGCGGAAAATGGCCAATTCCCGCCAAACGGTCATCTCCCACTGAACCAGTGAAGCGGAAAAAAGGAAAGCGGGGATAAGTGAAAATACTCAAACGACCCATAAATAGCCATCTCTCGGAGGAATCTGTCCAGTCATCACCCGAAGACGATTGTGGATACTAACAATCGAAACGTCGTGAACTAACTTGGCTTGAAATCTCTTAACTTTTTTATTTTTATTTTCATTTTGTATTTCTTCATTTATATTTTTATTTTTTGTTCAAATAGACAATGGAAGTCCAAACTAGTGAAATTCATAAAATTGGATTGAGAGTTAGAAGTATAGGTTTTAATTTTTATACACTTGCCAGAAAAGATATCAAAGTCACTGTAGAGCAGCCATTCATGTACAAATTCTGCCACGGCGGCTGGTATCACACTGAATAAAACAAATGCATATAGTTAATTGAAGGCATACAGTGATACAGAGGCCAAACAGTTTGGAAATTTATATATGCCTCCAGATTACTTTTTTACAAAGTATCATTCATCTAGAAACAGCATTTTCTTATCATTTTTATAATTTATATGCCACTGATTGCATAGGCCACCATCTCAAAACAATGTTTTCAAAAATCAACATTTCTCATCCTTGTGATAATTTTCCTTAGGATTATTCATTTTCTTTTTTCATGAGGGTAAGAATTTATTATACTTTGAAATGTGTCAATAGAAATTTGAAAACAAATGTTGAAAAAAATCAAAAACTAAACAACCTGAACAACCTTTAGAATAGATTAGTTTTTGACCTGAATTGTACAATCTTACTTTACAAAATATACGCTTATTTCACCACCTTATCCTATTTTTTTATCGATTCCTAAACAGCTCACAATCATATGAGATATTTATTGGGAGCTCCTCGTAGCAATGATGAAGTCAGATCATGGTCACATATTTTTGATCGAACCTCGTGCAGAGGTGCACGATAGCTCTTAGCCTACACCCTCCTGCCACGCCACATGACAGCAGAAAATAAAATCTCGGCCCGATACATCAAAGACGCCGACCACGAGTGAATTTAGTTGTGTTTACTTCTATACGGTGGTTGTAGGCAAATCACTATCAAATATCATTCTTCAAAAGTTCGGGATTATTTTCACACTTCCGCAAACTTTCAATAAAAATCGAGCCAATGATATGATTTACAAGAATTACTGCCCAGCCATTGAGATTTGAAGATTCTAACTATGAAGATTGTTATCGCGGTTATATTTTACAATTTAAATGAAACCGAAAACGAAATTATTGATATCACTTGAATGATAGTGTTCAAGAAGAATGATTTATATGACCTGAAATGATCGCCTTTTGCCGTGCAGCAAACTGGACATTTCTCATTTACACTCAAATTGGTTAAGGAGAAAATATTCTATTTATGACGACAAGGATATTCATAATATTACGACTTTTTGTCACGAATGAATTGAAAGTACACATATCACGATTACAGTACGTATCACATTCGATTTAATACCAGCCATAGGAATCTAGTAGAAATAAAAGGGTATATTTTTTGAGAAGGATCGTTTTTGGGGAAGAATGGTTTTGGCTTTTTACATCTCCATCTTTATATAACAACGATTAATTTCAAAATAAATCCATAGAACATAGAATAGAAATTACTTCAATATACAAACTAGTATAAAAGGGCCTCGCGAAACAATAAATTTCATATTAACATTGAAATGACTACTTCATCTTATGATGTTATCCACCATTGAGGATGGAAGTATTCCATGTAAGTGGAATTTTATTTCTTCCATAAACTATATTGTGTAGCATTTCTGTGAGTGTTATCCAATCCAATTCTATTACGGATATTTGGGGTACACACTGAATAGACAAAGGTGTTTTTTGTATTATCCAATGTCCATATAAAAGTGCTAGTTGTTGCTCGCGGCTTTGCCCGCGTAGAATTTGGTTTGTGACATTAATTTTCGTGACAGACCATTTTAAACACATAGTTACAATATTTTTTTTTATCAATTCAAAACTTCAGGTGGGTTACTATTGATTGATTGACACTCTTATATTAACGTACAGCCGAAGCTACTGAACCTAGAATCTTGAAATATGCAGGTAGGTTCTTTGTGTAGCGTAAATAAGCGTCAAGAAAGGGAATCAGGAATTTCCACCCTCAAGGGGGAAAATAGGGGTTCAAAAATTGTATTGCATTCCGTCAGTTTTGAAGTTGGAAACCTGATGTTTTGGATTGATGAAAAAATATCGTGACTATTTGTTTGAAATGGTCTGTCACGAAACTTACTGTGTCGAACGAAATTCTACACGGATGAAGCCGCGAGCAACAGCTAGTAATTTATATTTTCACTTTTAAAATACAGTTACTGAAAAAGTAATGAATTGTTTGAAGAATCAAATTATGTTACCTATAAAGAAATGTCTCAAAACTAACACAACCGTCAACGACGTCTGCCCTCACGCGTTTGCCCGAGTTCGGGTCGCATTCTCGGCAATGACGCTATATTAATTAGACCGTCCTTCTACTCCCGCGCATCTTCCTCGGTCGTCTTATAGTAGACGCGACGCGTAATGGCTTACTGCGTTGCATCAAGTTATTCTTATCGTGATAATTTAAATTCTTCCAAATCACTTAGTGTAAAAGACAAAGTATATCTATCTTAAATTCTCAAAACAGCCATTGTATCAATTTTTATAAGAATTTGACAGATATTCTAAAATGTGCATTGTAAAAAAAGTATCAATTTTAATTGTATTTATGGCTCAGTATTTTGCATGTAGTAGCTATCACATAATTTTATAAAAACGCAACACGTGAATCACCATAGAATAATTTTTTCAGGCGTATCTATTCACGTGTCTAGACACGTGTGTAGGGTGTAAACTGGAGGTTCAATTCCGAATTTTGAATACAAATACCGGGTTGGACTCAGTTTGGAATGCTTCTCGTTCATTGATATACTCCACTGAACCCACTCGTTTTTCACTAGATATAAACTTGAACATGACTTACAGAATAGATAATAGTTTGAGCAAATGTAATGAAATCAATTACGAAAAAACTTCTGAGTCGGATACATCAGGAATATGAAAGTTGACTTGTGAATCTTGCTCAAACTTTGTGTTGGCATGTTCCATGAATGGCTTGCTTAGGAGATTCAATAATTTGTAGTACTTTTGGTAGTCATTTGCTAATTTTGGAATTTATGTCCAAACATTCAACACACTGGTTGGATTCAATTTCTTATTGACAAGTAAATCTCACTGATTTGAATCTTGTCTTCTTAGGGCTGAAGTCTGAAGTAAATCTATAGGCCACACGACATTAAAGGTGAGTTAATATTCATGAACGAGACAGCTCATACATTTAGATAATGCGCTTGATCGTTCCGTTCAGACTTATCGTCCAGTGAACCGATCCAGTCCCAATCTATTGTAAATGGTTTCATTTTAGGCCTTCTTTTATTTGGATGTCCTTTTCTTGTATTAGTACTGCTGATGAGCTAGACTTCCTGGCATGAATGGATACAGTAGTAGCAAGAAGTGCTTACTGCGCAACCTCTGCTGCAGGCAATTGAAACCAGGTTTGTGTTCAATAAACCCTACAAAATACAAATAAAATAGAACACGGAGTCAGATGTTACAAATGTAATACGCTTATATACAGACGGTTCAGAAACCAAACCAGATCACTAAGCCTAAGGATTAAGTGGGGAATGGAAAAAAATACCAGCATAGTCCAAACAGAACTGGCTGGCATTTCAATCCCCACAAAAGAAATAACCAGGAAAGAAATTTCTGGCAAAAACATAACAATCTGCACTAATAGCAGACAAGACCTATCAGCCTTGAACAGACAATGTGTTACCTCAGGGCTGGTACTAGATGCCACCAACATTTAGCCAAAGCCTCGGTAGATAATAACATTATCCTGA